TGTGTGTGCGCGTGTGTGCGCGCGTGCATGCACGCTTGCACACGTGCACGCATTCTGATCTCATCTTGAGTTTTACTCTTTATTATAATAATAGTTATTATTTTATATTGGTACTGAACTTGAACTCAGAGCCTCACATTTATCTTTCTTTTTTTTGAGACAGTATCTTGCTTCCTCTCCAGGCACTTGGCCACCTATGTTAGGCTTCCTGGTTACTAGGATAACAGACTCACAGCACTGTGTCTACTTCTTTGTTGACTGAATAGTCTCAGCCTCCCAAGTCACTAGGATTACAAGTATGAACCACTAGTACTTGGCTATATAAAAATATTTAAAGAGAGAAATATAGAATAAGATACTTTTTTGGGCATTTTTTAAAAAGTAAAAGGGGGGCGGTACTGGGAAGGTGGCTAGGGCTGGGAAGGTGTCTCAATAGTAGAGTGCTTGCCTTGCATGCATGAGGCTCTGGGTTCAATTTCTCAGCATCATATAAGCAGAAAAGTCTGGAAGTGGTTGTGGCTCAAGTGGTAGAGTCACACACACACACACACACACACACACACACACACACACACACACACACACACACACACACGACCTTTACTGGCAATATATAGAGATTTATTTTTAGCCTTCAAGTAAGAATATTTACCTTTTTGTTTTATGTGTCCATAGTGTAATTTAGACAATTGGATTGTTCCTTTTTCTCCCAACTTTATAAGCATGCTCTAAGAATGTTCTGTAAGTTACCATCCTCTGTCAAAAGGTGAAAACTTTAAATATTAATAGGTATTAATGTAATATGTCACTGCCCCACATGGCGAGCTGTCAACAACTGTCAAGCTGTCAAGGGTTGGACAGTGGGCAGAGTGGGGGAGGGGCGTGAGTGGCCGTTGAAACTGTTAGACTTGTTGGAGGGAGAGGGGCGGGGTCTATATATAGGCTGCATGTTCCAAGGGGGTGGTGTGGAGAGACAGACAGCAGGCGGAGAGGAGGACAGCCAGAGGCACCTAAAGTTGCAGAGCAGGCAGGCCTGTGGAGAGGCCTGAGGCTGGTAGAGAGGTCTCTACTGGAGCAGAGCAGGGCAGGCCTATGGAGAGGCACCTACTGGAACAGAGCAGGGCAGGCCTGTGGAGTGTGGAGAGACCTGCAAAGAAGGAGGAAGGAAGGAAAAGGAAAGGAAAATCCTGAGCTTTGGAGGTTTGGAGGTCTGGGGTTGGAGGTTTGCAGACCAACTAAAAAAGGTTGGGGCTGCCCATTGGAGGCTTGGAGGTTTGGTAGTTGAGGCTGCTCTTGGTTCTGAGTAACTAGCTCAGAACAAGGTAGTTGCAGTTTTCTTTTCTGGTGTAGTGTAAATAAAATTCTTTTGTTATCTTTAACCGTGCCTCAATGGATTGCCTCACTCTTTGGAGGTCATAATATTGCCAGTTACTGTCCAAAATGGATGAATAGATCTGTAGTTTCCGCAGCAAGGTTTTAATTGGATGCCCTTGCCTTAGTTGGTGTCCTTCATATTCTGAGGGCCTAGGTTCCTGAAAAGATGAGTGGTGTTTCCATAGTGTTTACATGTTTAAGCATAATGAAAACCGTTGCTATGGTGATGGACTCTAGAACTGGTCTCAAAGTTTTTTTTTTTTTTTGGGGGGGGGGGGGGGGTCCGGTCTTGGGGCCTGAACTCTGGGCCTGGGCACTGTTCCTCAGCTCTTCAGTTCAAGGCTAGCTCTCTACCACTTGAGCCACAGCGCCACTTCCGGCTTGTTTTTTTTTTGCTTATGTGGTGCTGAGAAATCGAACCCAGGGCCTCATGCATGCAAGGCAAGCATTCTACCACTGAGCCACCATCCCAGCCCCAGGTCTGAAATTTTTTGAACCTAGAGTTTAGTTCATTGCTATTTATTTGTTAGTGATGGAGTGGATACTACCCTGAAGCAAATTGTTTTTTTAAGTAGTGTAATAATTGATCACAGGCATAAAGGTGTTTGGGAAAAGTACTCTTGGAGCTTCTGTTTCATGTGAGTGGTGACTTGCTAATGTACCATGTTAGAATCCTCACATGAATGTAAATGTGGCAGTGGAGAATTCTCTGTCAAGACTGATATGTTATAAATATGTTAAAAACAATAGCAAGAAAGAAAAAACCGGGCTGGGAAGGTGGCTCAGTGGTAGAGTGCTTGCCTTGCATGCATGAGGCCCTGGGTTCCATTCCTCAGCACCACATAAACAGAAAAAGCTGGAAGTGGCTCTGTGGCTCAAGTGGCAGAGCGCTCGCCTTGAGCTGAAGAGCTGAGGGACAGCGCCTTGGCCCAGAGTTCAGGTCCACAACCGACAAAAAAAAAAAAAGAAAAAACCATTTGTGTCCCTATCTTGAGGTTCATTTCACTTAACATCATCTTATATGGTTATATTGTACATAGCTTTTGACCTTTTTTGCTTGTCTAAACTTATACTAGTTATTGCACATAAGAGAACCATGGGACCTATGGCTTACTTCACTTAATATAATTTTTTCCAAGTCTTTCCATTTCCTAACAAATGGGGCAATGTCATTCTTTCTGATGGAGGCATAGAATTCCATTGTATCTAAATACCACATTTTCTTGATCCATTCATCTACTGAGGGGCATCTCGGTTGGTTCCATATCTTAGCTATGGTAAATAATGCTGGTGATTTTTTTGTTTCTTTGGTATGTTCCGCCCCCACGGTATAACCCCTGTTTCCACTGTATTGATTCTGGTGTCCTGCATCTTTTTTTTTTTTTTATGGGTCCGGTCGTGGGGCTTGAACTCTGGGCCTGGGCGCTGTCCCTCAGCTCTTCAGCTCAAGGCGAGCGCTCTACCACTTGAGCCACAGCGCCACTTCCGGCTTTTTTCTTTTTGCTTATGTGGTGCTGAGGAATTGAACCCAGGGCCTCTTGCATGCAAGGCAAGCACTCTACCACTGAGCCACCTTCCCAGCCCCAATATCCTATATCTTGTATATACATTTTTCTGATTTGGGGAGGGGAAGGGAAAAAACAAAATGCTTAAATAGGGATACAGGTTGACCCATTGTAACAATGAGATGTACAAGACACTATGTTGAAAATGAACTTTACAACTTTGGTGGGGGGGGTGGTTTGGGGGGGCTGGGGTTTGGGGGGTGGTAGCTGGGGAGGTGGGGAAGGACGGGATGGTAGGGGAATAACAAGGGAGGAGGCAACAATGCTCAATAAAAAAAATATACTCATTACCTTACTCATGTAACTGTAACTCCTCTGTACAGTATTTTTACAATAAAAAACGTATAAAAAAAAAAAAGAATGACATGTTACAAGTGCCTTAGCTTTTTTGAGACAAGCAGCTGCTAGAGCTCGAAGTTTAAGCTAGTTTGTCTACAACTATTAGGTCCTTGTGGGTGAGCAATTATAAAGTCTGCTGTCAACTATATGTTTATTCCATTAGAAAATAGTTCTTTTTTTTATGGTACTGGGCTTGAGCTTAGGGCCTCAAACTTACCAAGCTGGTCCTCTACCACTTGAGCCATACCTCCAGCCTAAGTTTTGGCTGATTATTATTTTTTTTTTTTATTTTGTTTTTTGTTTTTTTTTTTGTTTTTTTTTTATTGTAAAGCTACTATACAGAGGGTTACAGTTACATGAGTGAGGTTATGAGTACACTTCCTCTTGAACATTGTTACCCCCTCCATTGTTTTCCCCCTACCATCCCCCCCCTCCCTCCCTTCCCCGAGTGGCTGATTATTTTGGAGATGGACTATAGTAAACTTTTTTCCCTAGCTGGCCTTGAACTACAGTCCTCCAGATCTCAGCCACCAGCATAACTAAGATTATAGGCTTGAGCCACCAGTGGCTGGCCCAGTAATTCACATTTTTATAACTATGTTTGGTCATTCAGCACAGTTTTTTTGTTGCTGCCTTAGCTGTACCACCATCTAGGTATAACAAACCTTTCAGCCAGGAGATAAGAGATTTCTTAGGGTTTTTTGGTAAGTTATATATTTTTTCCCATAAGGAATCCCTGTTTTGTAGGATTTATTAGCATATATTAGTTATACAGAGAGGATTTTATTGTGATATTTCCATATGTGCATACAATGTATCGCAATCAAACTCATCCCTTGTTAAGCCTGTAGGTTTTGGTATAACTGAAAAATCCTTTCTTCCTTGTAACTTTGCTTTAACAGTTAAGAATGTGAAATTTAAGCATATAACTTGGTGACTTTTAAGTCTACCAGACTAACAATTATCCAAGTCTAGATATAGACATTACCAAGCCAAGCATGGTGTTGCATGCTTGTGATTCCCAACATTTGAGAAGCTGAGTGGTATAGTGCATTTATGGCCAGCCTGGGCTACAGAATGAGATCTTGTTTCAAAAAACAGATGACAGGGGGCTGGGAAGGTGGCTCAGTGATAGGGCGCTTGTCTTGCATGCATGAGGCCCTGGGTTCAATTCCTCAGCACCACATAAGCAGAAAAGGCCGGAAGTGGGGCTGTATATCGAGCTGAAGAGCTTAGGGACAGTGCCCAGGCTCAGAGTTCAGGCCCCACGACCGACCAAAAAAAAAAAAAAAAAAAAGCAGATGAAAGAATAGTACTAGCACCCTGAAAAGCTCCCTGCATCTTTCAAAAAACTTACATTACCATGGATTTATTCAGCCTAGTTTTAAGCTTTATAGATATGGAATTATACAGCATGTATATTTTATGTCTGGATGTGTTGCCCAACATATTTGTGGAATTTGTATATAATGTATACAGCATAAATTTCATTGCTATATTCCGTTGTTCATATATGCGATGATTTATGCTCTTTGCTGTTAATAGACACTTAGATTGTTTCCAGTGTGGGCTCTTTTGGGTATTATTCCTATCCGTGTCTTTTATGTGTGTATGCATTCATGCATGCTGGCATAGAATGTAAAATAGGGTATGTATATGTTCATTAACAGTTGTATTTGTTTTATGCTTCTGGATAATTATTTTGTTTTGCTTTTTATACAGTTTGCCTGAGAATACAGATCAACCCACAGAACAAAGCCGATTTCCAAGGCATTTCCCCAGAGCGAGCCTTTGCTGATTTTCTCTTTGCCAGCACTATTCTGCACCTTGTTGTCATGAACTTCGTTGGCTGAATTGATCGCATGTCATTAATGGAGGAGCAGGAGACTGGAAGAAGGTAAGTGATGATCATAATGCTTGTCCTATAATGTTGACTTTATGAAGAGAAATTAAAAGGGGCTGGTTTTCATCATGGTTGACAGGGCTTTAAGACAGAATCTTCCAGTGGTCTGCAAAGAATGCATTACTACCACCATGATTTATCAAGTGCTACTTCTTTTGTCCATTGTCTTCTCAGTGTTCTACAAATCACTAAATTAACAGAAAGTAAATGCTTATTTATTTTTGTACTAGTAGCTGTGAAAATAACTCTTTACTTATTTATTAATGTAGTGGGGTTTGAACTTAGTACCTAATGCTTGCTAGGTAAAGTACTCTTTAACCCTTGATCATGCCCTCGGTCCTCTTGTTTTAGATACTTTTCAGATAGGGTCTTGCATTTATGCTTAGGCTGTCCTAGACCATGCTCCTTCTGTTTATGCTTCCCAGTTAGCTGGGTGACAAGTGTATATCGACAAACCCAGTTTTTATTGATTAATCATCTTTTTTGCCTAGACTGGTCTTGAACTGTATTACTCTTGATCTTCACTCCCTAGTAGCTAGGATTGTAGAAATGAGCTTTCATGTCCAACTATTTATATATTTATTTTGAGACACGGTTTCATTGTGTAGTCTAGGATTGCCTCTAAATCCTCCTGCCTCAGCCTCCCTCCCAAATACTGAGACTACAGATATGCACCCAGAGATTTTTTTTCTTTTTTTCTTTTGATGTCTGTCCTAGGGCTTAAACTCAGGGACAAGACAATGTTCTTGAGCTTTGTTGCTCAAGGATGGTGCACTACTGCATGAGCCACAGCTCTATTTCTAGCCTTTTGGTGGTAGATTGGAGATAAGAGTTTCAGGGACTTTCCTGCCTGGGCTTGCTTTAAACTGTGATTCTGAGATCTCAACCACATGAGTAGCTAGTATTATAGGCCTGAGTCTGTAATTTTTTTTTTTTTTGGTCAGTTGTGATGCTGGAACTCAGGGTCTGGGTACTGTCCCTGACCTTTTTTGCTCAAGAATAGTGCTTTACCACTTTGATCCACAGTGCCACTTCTGGTTTTCTTGTAGCTAATTAGAGATAAGAGTCTCATGGACTTTTCTGCCTGGGCTGGCTAGGAACCTGATCTTCAGATCCCAGCCTACTGATTAGCTAGAATAACAGGTGTAAGCCACCAGGGCCTGGCTGCCAGATATTTGTTTTTTGGGTTGTGAAGCTTGAATTCAGGGCCTGGACACTGTCCCTGAGCCTCTTGTGCTTAAGGCTAGCACTCTACCACTTGAGCACAGCACCACTTCCATTTTTTTGAGTGGTTAATTGGAGGTAAGAGTCTTAACGGGGACTTTTCTACCTGGGTTCTCTTCAAACTGTGATCCTCAAATTTCAACCTCCTGAGTAGCTACTACAGGCGTGAACCACTGATGCCTGGCTCCTCTGCCACCCCTTGCTGCCCCCAGTTTTAACTTTAAATGCTGGGCCATTGCCTTCATGGAATGCACTATAGCAGTTACTCCTGACAGACATTAAGTCATAAGTGTAGGTTGAATAAACGAGTTATTAGCGAACATGTGTCCTAAACTGAAACAAATGGGGAAGTTGGGTTAACTTGGGAGAAGACTTTGAAAAACACCATTTGTCTTGCCATTTGGTTCATTTGCTTGGCATGAACCAAACCCATAGAATTCTGGTAGAAAAGCAGAATTGGAGCTGGAGTTATTTTGATTGACAGGAATGGAAAAGCCTTCTGCTCTGCTTTCCTTTGTGGGTGGTATGCCCTCCATCCCAAGCAGAATCCTTAATGTCTGGATATTTTCTAAGCCATGTGTCAACACTGTTACTTTATGTAAGAAAACTGGCCTTCAGGGCAGTGCCTTGGCCTAGTAGTGACCTTGGTCCAGTGATTGGGCAGGCAGTTGCTAATGAAGCTCTTGCTTTTACATTCTTGTCTTTGCACTACAAAATTTACTGTTGCTTTTAACAGGTGGTAAGAAAAGAGACTCTTAGGAGATAACATCTTGTTTTTTTCTTGGGGGGTGGGTGGGGTGGGGACATTTCCAGGACATTCCAGTCTCTTTGTCTCACTATTGGCCACGTTATTGTTTTTGTATTAGTTAGCCAAAATCTAACTGAAGAGTTAGATCAGTCATGTGTAAAATGTATGCAGTAATGTGACAAGGACTGTAATTCATCTTGTGGCATGAATTAATTATAATACTACATAAATCTGTTCTTTGATATAATGTTTCAAAAACAGTTTGTATTAGTTCAGGTAAGATTTTACTTTTTGGTAGTGGTAAGTTGGCAGAGTTAGTTTATTTCATTGAAATTTTTTGAGAACCACTTCTTTCTGTTATTTAATACAACCTAACTCCTTGGAGACCTGATTAAAACTTGTGTTGTCCTCCCTTCTTCCTTCTTATTGGAACTGTCTTGGGATATGGAGGTGTCATGTATGAATAAGGCACCAGTTCTGCGGGGCAGAGTTTACTTCTCTTTAAAGGCATGTTACGGGACAGGAAGCCAAGTAAGCAGGGTTGTGTGGTGGACAGTCCACTCAGGTTTTATCCCTAATGTGTTACTGACCTTTGTTCTAATGGCTCAAAATTTGAGCTCACAATCTTGTGTGATTAGCTAGGTTGAAAGGGGTGCAAAGTTTCTTCCAGCAATCAACCAGAACCAGGGCCCCTGACCAAATTGTCAGAAAAACAATTCTTTCCTCAACTAGAGCTCTAGAAGTCAGCCACGCCTCCAGCCCCTAGAAAAACACTTATAGCGGTATGTGGCTTAACTAAAATAACTTCTTGTAAGATGTCAGCTACACTTAAAAAGGCAGTGCTTATGTCAAACAACCACTTTGACAGAAAAGATTCTAGCTCCTACAGAAAGGCAAATGTGGTTCTCACTTTTGAATGGGAATAACCTAGGAGGAGAACAGACATGCATGTATAGCAGGTAAAATACAACGTGGTTAGAGCCTCACCAGAGATCTGAACAAAGTGCTTCAGGAGATGGTCAGGGGAGGACTGAGCCACATGAGAGCAGAGGCAGCTGGTGAGCCCCATGTCCAATGGATTACAACTCTCACCAGTTACCAGATAAATGTTAGCAGTGGGTAACCTTGAATACAGCCCAAGAGCTGACCTTTCAACATTAACTTTACCCTTGCAGATATTGAGAGTCATTGTTGGAAAGGCACCAAGTCTTCTATCTCCCTCCAGACTAGCTGAAGTTCGTTTTCCAGATGAGTCAGAAAGGGGACAGAGAAAACATTTCAAGGATGTTCTCAAGGCTCAGGGAAATACCAAATCATGGAAAAATATTTCCTGGGGCTGTTGTGATTAGAGGAGGGCTGTGCTGCAGAGAGTTTAGTATTTCAAACTTAGGACAAAAACAGACCAAAAAAGCAGGCTCAGCAGAAACTTACTGCAAACCATATTAAAAACTGAGGGCCACCTGTTCAGCTGGGAATTATGGGCCCAATGTATAGCAAAATCGTCTAGTTCCAGATTGCGGTGTTAAATCATTCTATAGAAAGTGGTGGGTTCACAGAAAAATTCTCAGTATGATTGCCCATGCATTTCTACAGAGGTGCTGCTTTGACATATACTACCCTGTCCTGCTGTCAGTCCTGTTAATATACATTTGCCGCTTTTATGGGCTTTTAACTCAGCTGTATGGACAGTGTGCCAAAATATGTTAGAAACACTTTCCAAGTGAGTTCTCAGTATTTATACCCTCTAAGAAGGTAGAATAAAACAGATTGAACATTTTCAATATTTTCCAACCGAGAGTTGGATATAAAAACACAAACATCTATAGTGTAACTAGTCTGCATGAATTTGAGGGTGACATTTAAAACCATCAGCTACACTAGAAAAGGCAGATCAAAAGAAAATGGTATTGAAGCCAGGCGCTGGTGGCTCACGCCTGTAATCCTAGCTACTCAGGAGGCTGAGATCTGAGGATCACTGTTCAAAGCTAGCCCTGGCATGAAAGTCTGTGAGACTCTTATCTCCAATAAACCACTAGAAAACCGGAAGTGGCGCTGAGTGCTCGCCTTGAGCTGAAGAGTTGAGGGACAGCGCCTAAGCCCAGAGTTCAAGCCCCAGGAATGACAAAAAAAAAAAAAAAAGAAACAAAATGGTATTGAGCTAAAAACTCAGTGTAGTCTAGGGGAAGTAAGAAAGATAACAGAAGGGGCTGGGAAGGTGGCTCAGTGGTAGAGCGCTTGCCTTGCATGCATGAGGCCCTGGGTTTGATTCCTCAGCACCACATAAGCAAAAAGAAAAAAGCTGGAAGTAGTGCTGTGGCTCAAGTGGTAGAGTGCTAGCCTTGAGCTGAAGAGCTAAGGGACAGTGCCCAGGCCCAGATTTCAGGCCCCAGGACCGGACCTCCCCCTACCCCCCCAAAAAAAAAAAAAAGAAAAGAAAAAGAAAGGTAACAGATATTCGGTGCTCATTTTGCCAAGACATACATCTTGTTCTAGATCTCATTTTTTATTTTCAAAATTAGAACTTCACAAGGCTAGGCTTGTATTTCCATTTACTGATTAGGTATAGATGTTCAGGAGTTTTCTCCAAAAATCTCACCAGGAAGTCTGATAATCTAGTCTGATTTCTGCAGCAGCTTATACCCCATTTTTGTTCAAGTTTACCATATATAGTACTTTTAATTGCTGAGTTAAAAAAGTGTATGTGGTTACATGGCGCAATGGGTAGAAGTTGAGGCAAAAGGATTGTGAGTTTGATAGAGGCCAGCCTGGGTTGTATAATGAGACTTGTCTCAAGGAAAAGAAAAAGAGGGGCTGGGAAGGTGGCTCAGTGGTAGAGCGCTTGCCTTGCATGCCTGAGGCCCTGGGTTCAATTCCTCAGCACCACATAAGCAAAAAGAAAAAAGCCGGAAATGCCGCTGTTGTTCAAATGGTAGAGTGCTAGCCTTGAGCTGAAGAGCTTAGGGACAGCCTCCAGGCTCAGAGTTCAGGCCCCACGACTGGACCCCCCCCCCCCCCCAAAAAA